AAAAGGAGAGATCACTGCACCTAAAACACTTCTTGGATTCCTTAATAATTGCTTAGAAAGCCTCAAATGTGTATAATTTATATCACTGATTAAAGAGTTTTAATTTTTAAAAACTTCACCCTGCGTGGCAGCTCCCCTTTATCATTTGGATGGCCATGCCCTGGACTTTTTTCAGCTCCATTAATCTTTCTCCATGTGGGCCACATCCTCAAGTCTAGAAATGGCACTTTTTTAACAAGGGAAAATAACATTTCATTGTCAGTCCCCGTATTCCCCCTGCTGCTGACGGACCGCATCTTCAGGGACCATAGGCAATGACCCTCAGACCTACGAGGTCCTTTACCTCCATCACCGTCCACTCAGTCAAACAGGTCCCTTCTCCCTAAACGGCTTACATGCGCCACTGCAGTCTGTCACTTTAACGCACAGGCCGCTAAATCTCTCAGAAAATAATAGCTCCCGGGGAAGAAGGGAATTTCTCTTGTCCACTGATAAATAGTGTTAAATGAGCGAATGAATGAACTCGGTTTTCCATTTCTTCTTGCTCAACAGAAAAAGAAACATGTTTCCTAAAGGGTTTCATAGGGGAATGTCCACCCCTGGAAAGGTTTAAACACATACCTTCTGCTAGGAATAAATATTTCCGCACTGGGGAGGAAGCGGAGCCAAATGAACTCTACAGCGCCTATCAACTCGGAGGCTCTGGAACTGGGCGAGCTCCACGCCTTAAGAGAGAGTGGGCCAGCCACACAAAGTCTGATTCCCAGGTAGAGCCAATTACCATGCTCTGTTTAAAATAAAAATAAAAGCTGCCCTGGGACTTGGATGCAAAAATACTAACTCATCCAAAATGTGGATACGTTCCTGGGAGAGAAACGCTCTTGCTAATCATCAGTTACACTCTGGACACCACAGATGTGCTTCAGGGTCTTCTCACAGCCAAGCCCAAAACCACTCGTGGGAAATGGAGAAACTAAGGGGTAAGATCAAGACGCAAATAAAGCCGAAACCGGTTTAACTGAAAGCAAACGGGCCCGGCTGACTGAAAGGTCCCAGGTTCGATTCCAGTCAAGGGCATGTACCTTGGTTGCGGGCACATCCCCAGTAGGGGGTGTGCAGGAAGCAGCTGATCGATATCTCTCTCTCATCGACGTTTCTAACTCTCTGTCCCTTTACCTTCCTCTCTGTAAAAAAGAAAAAAAAAAAAAAAAAGAAAAAAAAATGCAAATAAAGAGTGTCACACTAAACTGGAGCTTTCGTTTTCTTAGCCAACAACAAATCTACTTAAGAAACATCTGAATTTAGCCTTGAGGTTTAAATGGTTACAACTAGATATAAAGTAACCCCTCCCCCTTATCTGGTGAGGTTGTGCCTGAAACCACAAATAGTATACACATACCTGTGATAAAGTTTAATTTCTAAATTAGGCATAGTAAGAGAGTAACAACAGTAACTAATAATAACAAAGTAGAACAATTTTAATAGTATACTGTAATAAAAGTTATGTAAGATGATCTCTCCGCATGAATTTTTTTTTCCTTCTTCACAATTTCATGGGTAGAAGATCTGTTCTTGCAGTAGATCTTAGCAACCTCAGCATAAGATTGATTTTCTTTTCCATACTGAAAACTTTCATCCTTTCACTTAAAGCAGGGGTGGGGAAGGTCCAGCCCACCCGCCAGATAAGGCTTGAGAAATTATTTGGCCTGGCCCTGGCAAGGCATTAGGGGTGAGTTAATTAAATGTTTGACCAAACATAGCAGGCTAATTTTTAGTTGACAATTTTGTATGGCCTTCAAATGATGTTATAAAAATCCAAATGGCCCTTGGCAGTAAAAAGGGTCCCATCCCTGACTTGGAATCACTTCTCTGATTTAAAGGAATCACTTTACAGCTTCTCTTTGCATATCGAATACTTAGGGGCCATCATTGGGTAAAATAAGGGTTCCTTGAACAGAAGCACTGTGGTACCACAGCCTGATAACTCAGATTGCTACTAAGTGACTAAGGGGAGGGAGGCATATGGCATACAGCATGGATAAACGGGACAAAGGAGGACAAAGGGATGATTCACATCCCTGAGTGGGACTGAGAAAATGGCCCATCATCTTGCTATTCAGAACGGCGGGCCAATTTGAAACTTATGAATTGCTTGTTTCTGTAATTTTCCACTTAATATTTTTGGACCAAGGTTGAAACTTCTAAAAATGAAACTGTAGATAAGGGGGGGGAGGGGAGATACTGTAATCCCTTCATAAGATAAATTATTACATTTGTCATATAAGGATTTTTGCCCAGTAAAAGACCATATTACCAGAGATATCACACTAACATGTTCAAGAATGTCTAAAATTGAAGGCAAATTATTCTGAATGAACTTTCCTTCGATCTGGACGAGGGAGGCAATTTTCAGGGAACGGATATATGCTCATGTTTTCCTAACAACTTTTGGGGAAAGAACAAATTCTAAAGAAATAACTTGAGAAACTCCATTCACATACAGATCCCTTCCCGAGGGACTATGTTCTCTCCACACTCTTTCTTTTGTTCTCATCATCATAGAATAGATAAGGCACCAGAAAGCATAGAGAAGTCTAACAAGGATGCAATGCAGTTGTCTTAGAGTTGTGTTTGGAGAATCTACATGTACTCAGGCTGTTTAGAAGACAAAAGGCAGACACTATACTTAAGACATTTACAGGGTGAACAACAACGTGAAGCAGTTCAACAATTCCTTGGAAATACACAAAAAGACTTCAACTCTGTAGTCAATTCCTGATCACCCATATACCACAGCTCAGGCAAAGAGAGACGTCTTGTTTTTAAACGTAATGTAATCTTAATTCCAGGGACAAAAGAGAATGTGCAGAGAAAGCAGTTCCCTCCTCCGTGCACACACACACACTTGTAAAAATCTCTTATTATTTGCATGATCGAGGCCCTTCCACAAGAATTCTGTGGGATTAAGCTCACATCTGGTTGACAGACCTGGTGTTGGATCTGATTATGGCCACACAACTAAATCTTAAATCCACATACTGTTCCTATTGAACTGGCATGTATGAACTAACTAATTTATAGACAATGTGCAGCAAATTATTTCTTCCACCTCCCCATGCCTCAAGAATGCACCAGCCATAGGTATTCAGAAAAAGACATCTCCCCCTCCCCCCCCACACACACAGACACAATATTGCATTCCCAAATGCTCTCCAATTATCTAGAGTAGATACTGTTATTTTAGTTCTTGGGATCTGAAGTAGCGTGGGGGAGGAAGTATTTTAACCAGATAAACTTGACCTCTCTAGACCCGTTTTCTCACCAGAAAAGAAAAAAATAAAATAAAAGATTAGCCCAGAGACTACACATCCCCTCAATAACAGCAATCTCTGACCACCAATTATCAAGAGTACAATTTGCGTGCAAGAAATCTGGATTCTTAAGAGTCTGTCATTAACTATTGAGTTTTAAATGCCTGAAAGACCCATAGGTACACTTCAATATGACCACTGCACATTTTCTGACCACAGAAAAGGTCTGAAAACATCCCGGCAGCGGAATCACTACACTGAGTTGGAACACGCAGAGGAATCCCCCGAATTTCCCGGGGTGGGGTGGGGATGGGGGTGCGGGGTTGAGGGGGGGAGTATGCATATCTGAGCAGGAGTTAGGACAAGGAGCCCGGGGTTTGGGGGCACAGCCTGAGTGTCTCTGAGTTTCTGGTGCCTCCTAAGGACTTTTATCTATGTCTATGAAATCTCTCGAGCGACCACCTGCAGCTCCACACTAACGGGTAAAAGAAAAGGAGATGGGAAGAAAGAGAGGGGGCAGAACCGGACAAACCTCGAGGGAAGAAGGTCCCCCAAAGTCGGTGGGGTGAAAGTGGACTTTGAGCACCGACAAAGCAATGGGGGTGGGAGGGAGGAAGAGAGGGAGAAGGAGAGGGAGAGAGAGAACTCTGCCTGCCCACCCCACTCGGCTCCTTTCACTAAAAAGGACGGACGGCCGCCGCCCCTTCTGCCTTCCACCCGGGATGCGGAGCACCGGCCGAGGCAGCGCCCTCCTCGCCAAGCCGGGCCGGGAGCCGCGCACCCCGCGACCCGGGGCCGGAGCATCCTCCTCCTCCTCCTCCTCCTCCTCCTCCTCCTCCCCCCCCCCTCCCCGCGCGCCGCGCCGAGGGGCAGCCGGCTCCCCGGGCACCCGCACCGCCCGCCCTTCCTCTTCCTCACGCCCCCGCCTCCGGGACTCGCCGCCCCCAGCCTCCCACCCGCAGCGCATTCTAACCCTCCACACACACACACACACACACACACACACACACACACACACACACACCACCAGGGCGCCTTCGGAAACTTTGTGTGTGAACGCGGGGCTTCTGAGCACATCCTGGGCAGGGCCCGGGCACCCGGGCGTGTGTGCCTGAGGGTATCCGGGACCTCACAAAGCACTGGGGAACCCACCCCGGAATCCCACACCCCTTTCTTTTGGGCCCGCTTCTTACTACACCGAGGGACCCGGGGCTGGGCTGGGGCTCACAGTGCCCACGCCGCCGCCTCTCCGCGCGGGGGACACGGGAGGAGACCCCGGCGCCCGGAGCCTCTCCCCGCTGTCACGGGGGAAAGGCGAGCGCGGAGAGGGAGGGAGGGAGGCAGCCGAGACCCACCGTGGCTCAAAGGATCCTCTCCTAAAGGGAACATGGGGGAGAGGTCCCTTTCCTCCCACAATCCCGGGAATCTGGGCGCACCGAGGCGAGACACTGTTGCATCACGCCACAGCCGAGCCTGGGGGGCTCCGAGCCCGAGCCCCAGACGCGCGCCCGAACACACACACACACACACACACACACAGCCACCGCAGCCAGCGCCCGAGCCTCCGCCCGGGGCCCCCGAGGCGCGCCGGGCCCCCCATCCACGCCGGCACCCGCCCCGAAGCAGGGCTCCTCCCGCCCCCGTGCCGGAGGAGTAACGGGCCGGGGGAACGAGGTCCCCTGCACTCACAGACGGTCTCCCCACGGCCACGGCCATCGCGGCTGCGCCCCGGCTCCGGCTCCGGCTGCGCCCGGCTGCTCCCCGCCAACACCGGCTGCTGCTCGGCTCCCGCTCGCCGCCCCCGCGCCTCCCTCGCGGCTGCGCTCCGCTCGCGCCCGGCTCCCGGGTCCCGGCTCCGCGCGCGCCCAGCGGCGTCTGCTCGCAGCTCGCCGCCGCCCTCTGGCTTTATCCGAGCAACATGGCCCCTCGCCTGGAAGGCACCATCTGCCTCCCCAGCAAGGGGGGGGGACGCCTTCCACGCGGGGGCCGGGCGACGCGAAGGAGGGTGGTGGGCGGGCCCCCGGGCTCAGGGCGCCAAGGCTGGCCCTCCGGGGATGTAACCGGGGGGAGGGGGGCCCGAAGCGACCCTCGCCTGGGCCACCGAGCCCCTCCCCCAGCCGGTGGGTTGGCCGCCACCACCCGCTCCACCACGTGCTGGAGCCCGAGGGGAGACGGGGCGCGGAGAGCCGGGCCCGGGTGCCGCCGAGCGCGCGGCGGAGCGGACCCTGGGCCGCGGGGGAGAGGGGCAGGGACGCGGGGCGGGAGGGTCCGCGGGAACGGAAAGCGAGGCCCGGGCCAGCACGCGCCCCCCGGAGGAGCCGGCTCGGAAGGGGTGCGGGCCGCCGGGGAGACACGTGGGCGGCCCCCCAGCAGGAAAGCGTTGCGCCTACGGAGATGCATTCTGCAGGGAGAGGCTGCGGAGATGCGTTCTGCAGGGAGAGAGAGGCCACAAAGCGGGGTGCTGTGGCGGAGGCCTGCGGGGACCTCGGGGAGAGGACGAGGCCGCCGTAGTGGCTGGTGTGCACGGCCCCCGCCGCCGCCGGCTGGAGAGGAACCAGAGGACTTCCGGCTGGAGAATCCGTGCAGCTGTGCACGGTCCGGAGCGCAGGGCCGAGCTCCCCTTTGCCCCCCCCCCTCTCCCCCCGGTGTAACGGAGCCCGCGGGCCGCACGCGGGGGCTTAGCCGACCTTGTGTGATCGCTGGACGCGGACCCCGCGACGCGGAGGCGCGCGCGAGGGTGGCGGCGGCGCCCGGCGGGTGACCCGAGTCTGCGCGGCCCCGGGCGCGTGGGACCGGGGAGCTCCCCCGCCGCCGTAGGGGAGGGTTTTTCCAGCAGATGTTGGGGTACGTGACCGGGTGCCGGGCGACACTCGGCGTCCTAGTGCCTGCCCGGCGGCGCGGCGCCCACGGGGGTCAAGGCCCGTCCGCGGGGTGTGACCGAGGAGCCGCGGCTTCCCCCGCAGAGAGGGGGCCGGGACTACAAGGTGATGGAGGGCGGCGACCGGTCGGGGAGGGAGCCGGCTGCATAGAAGAGCGGGGGCTGTGCGGAGGCGGGAGGGACTAGGGTCAGCCCGCTGGACTGCGCCCGCAGGGAAGTCCACGGCCTATGGAATTAGGTCAAAGCAAACCGCCTCTTTAGACTGGTTGCCTCCGAGTCTGACCTGAGACTTGCAGGAACTATGTTTCGTGGGGGCCTTGCGTCTGCCCCTCCTGCCATTTCGGAGGAAGGAGGGGAGGCTGGATTCGAACGCGCCGGGCAGGGGGTCCAGCTGCTGGGGGGCTGGAGCTGGGTTGTCCCCGGAGGGATCGAAGGGCCGCAGGCCGCCCAGGCTGGATCCCACCGGCAGGATGCAGGGGGAACCCTCAGGGATGAGAGTCTGACTCTCACCGCCTCTCCGTGAACGAAGGGCGAGAGGCTCCGAAAGGGGACCGACCGCTCAGTCTGCCGGAGGGCTCAGACCTGCAGACGCGAACCTCTTCCGTGTTGACCGATGTCTGCCCCCTCGTCTTCAAACCTTTGGAGGCATGGGCCACCATTTTATGTGAAGCGTACAGTAAATGCTCAGTAAGTGTCGAATGAAGATGACCACGCGGATGGCGGCCATGCGGAGGGAGGAGGAAGAGGAGTTCCTCCCTCTGCTGGCTCTATACGTCGGCATTTTGTTCCTTCTCTCGTAGACAGCCTCACTGCCCGTGGACCTGAAGTCTCAGGCAAACCCTATGAAAAGACTGCTCCAGCCCTAACCCGTTTGGCTCAGTGGATAGAGCGTAGGCTTGCGGACTCAAGAGTTCCCAGGTTCGATTCCGGTCAAGGGCATGTACCTTGGTTGCAGTCATGTACCCCAGTAGGGGGTGTGCAGGAGGCAGCTGATCGATGTTTCTAACTCTCTATCCCTCTCCCTTCCTCTCTGTAAAAAATCAATAAAAAATGTTAAACAAAAAAAAAACAAAAAACAAAAAACACACTGCTCCACAGGCTGTAATGGTAATTGCGAACCAACTGGCTATTCTTTGTTATGTTGCCCAGGCCAGACTTAATCAAAATTGTTTTATTTTTATTTACTTTGTAAATGCTCGTGTTGAAAACAGCTGATTAGATGTTTAGATAAGAGTATGAATTCCCTACCTTTGTGGGTAGTAGGTTAGTTTATTCTCATCAGAAAAGCTTAAAGTCACCTATTCCATGATCTCAACTGTTTGAAGAAACTTTTAGGACAAAATCATTAGTTTACCCAGCTTCTGCCTGATTTTTTTCACTAAGTAGGAGCAATGCCTTAAATTTCCACCTAAATGACTTTTGGGTAGTTAGGCATAAATGTATTTAATAAAAATATTGAATTACTATTGGCCAAGAAAGGCTACTTCAGAATGTCAGTTTTCATTCTGGAAGTTATTTAAATATTCTACAGCCATTCTACCCAGATTTAAAACTTCATAGCTATGTGAACTTGAGCAAATTGCTTAACCTTTCAGTGCTTTAATTTCCTCGACTTTAAAATCTATTTAATGATAGTTCCTCCTTATTAGGGTTACTAAGGGGTTAAATTACCTTATTAACTTTGTGCTCAGCTCTGTGCTAAGAACTAAACATTTTAAAATAAAGATGCCTCTTCGACTGTTAATCAGAGCACAGTCTGCTGAGAGATCTTTAAACAACGCTGATAAATAATCCAACTCCTAGAAATGATCCATGAATTAAGAGAGTTTAAAGCAGAGTACAAAGGAGCTAGTCACTCTCCCGTCAAACAGTGGGAATGCACATGGATATTCTTTAAATTGATGTCAGCTGAGTCCGAGGTGACTGGCATGGCCGTTTCCTGGAAAAGGCCTCCCCCAAATGGCGGGAGACTTCTCAGTACTGACTTCTTACCTTTATCCATGTGCTGGGAATGAGGGATTGAATAGGACCTTGGCCCACTCAGGCCTTGATATGTTAAATCCAGGCCTAATACTGGGAATGAGGGAATGAATAGGACCTGGGCACACCCAAAACTCCTTTGATTCTAAGCTTTCCAGGGAAACCCCCCTTTATTCTTTTGAAAATAAATAAATGTGCTGCGTGGCTCAGGTGTTGCCTGTCTCTCCAGCAAAAAGGGCAGGGACCCCGCTTTGAATCTATTTCTGTGTCGGCTCTCTTTATTTCATATATTTCTCAATCCCCGGCCACCTCTTCCAAGAACCTGTTTCATCTCTCTTCCGGAGCTGGACGCGGAGAAGGGAGATCCCGGCCAACTCAGGCCCCCACAAACAGGAAAGGCTTCACCAAGGAAAGCGGAACAGGGAGGAGAGTGAGGGGGACATTCCAAACAAGGATGGAGGTCCCGGTCTCCTGGTGATGGTGCTGTCCCAAGAACAGGTGTCCTGGCATTGCTGGCGTGGGATCCTTAGAGGGAACTTGGCACATTGAGGAAAACAGGGCCCTGAGACTTCAGTTTATTACTTATTAGTTATGTGACACTGGGCAAGATATCCTCTCTTCATCTCATCTCTTTTCTAAAAAATACATTTTATTGATTTTTTTACAGAGAGGAAGGGAGAGGGATAGAGAGTTAGAAACATTGATGAGAGAATCATTGATCAGCTGCCTCCTGCACACCCCCCACTGGGGATGTGCCCACAACCAAGGTACTTGCCCTTGACTGGAATTGAACCTGGGACCCTGTAGTCTTCAGGCTGACTCTCTATCCACTGAGCCAAACCAGTCAGGGCTTATCTTTTTCTGTTGTGAAATAGAGCACTAGCAGTGAGTCCTGATGGGGCACATGTTTGCCAGATCCACTCTTCACCTTCCATTCTGCCCCCAGAAGCTGGAGCTCAAAGGGCTTTTCTTCCCTTTTCACCCATTTGAGTTCAGGCAATGGTGGACAGCCACAGAACCACAAAGAAAGGAGTGCTGGTACTTATTCCCCTAGGCGCTTTTGCTATGGCACCATTGCAGGCTGGCTGCATTCCTCAACCAAAGGTCAGTTACTTCCCTGGGATAATCCAGGGTAAACTCCTTGTGGTTTTGCTACATTTATCCCACAGACTTGCAAATAGTCATTTGATTAAACTCTACTCAAATTACCCATTGAGAATGTACCATCTCATTTCTGCTAGGATCTTAACAGACTAAGTCCTTCACAGAATTGTTTTGCTCAGAGTTAACTGAGAAAACAGGTATACTATAATTAGAGTGACCTAGAATTTATTGTTCAAACTTAGAAACTTTTGAGATTGAAAAAAGGTGGTTAGCTTATTAAGACAATAGGCAAAGACCAGGACTTATGGTGACCATAGCTATTATTACAAGACAAGTTAGGCAATTGAGAGGTGATCATACTTACATACATCTTTACTAGGCTCTGAGTGCCTCAAAGCAAGATAATTTATTTGTATTTCAGCTTACAGCACAAAGTCTGGTATCCTCTATAATAAAGAGGTAATATGCAAATTGACCCTCACACCCTCACAAATGGCTACCTATGACCAGGCCCACAGGGGGGTTAGTGAGGGACAACCAAACCACTGAACAGCAGGCTGTGTGAGGATGAACAACAAAAAAACAATTAGGCTGGCAGGGGGGGAAGTGAGTGGCAACTAGGCCAGTGGGGATGGGGGGTGGGGAGCAGTTGGGGGCAACCAGGTTGGGGGGCGGCAGTTTAGGGATGACCAGGCAGGCAGGTGAGCAATTAGGAGCCAGCGGTCCAGGATCTCAAGAATCGGATCTAAACCAG